ATTCCAGGACTTTCCTTCTTTCTATTCCGCTGACAGGTCTCACTATGTGGTCGGTCCGCCTAAAAAGTTGGAGTAGCTGTTACGCCTATAGTGTTAGTCGTTAGATTCCATTAGTCAATCTCAACCGTTTAGCCGTGCTGCGTTTGATCTGTGGTCTCAAACTGTATAGGCTAAGACTTGGTCAGCCTTCCAAAATGTCTATTCACGCGCACAGTCACCTGACAACGCCGGTCTGGAGCCGGTAGAAACATGTTGGGAGTTACGCCAGCAGGTGCGGCGTGTGGCCTACGTCGTACTCCATCTGTATTTTGACGATAATCATTCGATTTTTGCGTGTAAAAAAAGATGAGGAGTTGGTGTGCGACTTCGTGTTTGTGTTCTACGCGTGGGTTTCCCCTGTTGCCTTTACACATAACCTTGTCGTCAGAATGCACTACGACAACTTATCCAGTCAGATTCAGTCAGAATCAATGTAGAGGATTACAGCATCAAACAGGAAAGGTTTCTTAGAGTGCATAAATAAAATATTTCAAAAATTACATTCACTTCCAATCGCCATCACACATTTCACAATTGATTGCGGTGCCATCACACTTGATTGGAGACTTCGCACAAAACTGGAATCGATCATTCACTCCCATTTGCAACTGGAAAGTCGATGAAACCAAGGGAAACTTGTATAGAACGGGGTGCCTTGCTGCCCTAAGCGACATGCAACAGACAGATCGGGTTAACTGTCAGCCAGTGGACATCGAGATTGTTCCCCTGGCTATGGCTGCGTCCAAACCTTCAGTCAATGGACAGCGAAATCGTACTGGGCCTGGCTATGGCTTCCGCAGCTCAGCGGGGGCTGAAGGCTGTGCGAACGTTGCCAACTGGCCCATCTCAGTGTTTGGCCACTCCATCCTCTTTTTTTTTTTTCTTCGGCGGCCGTGATGTTAGCTGGCTGCTGATGCACAACTGATAGCTTCTGCACTTTTAAAAAAGAGTGGACGATCTGAGTGTAACAAGGACCGCTCATAGGTTACCATCGCCCCTGTGCAAGGACGGCGCGAATAAATCGGGACATCCGTTAAAACTGGAACGACGCAGAGAAGACAAGTTAGCATGGCCCCTGTGCAAGGACGACGCGCATGCATCAAGAAATGGTCCAAAAAAGGACCCCACTCATAGGCTCACACAGCATTCTCAACTGACATCAACTTCACTCCCACTTTGTCTCCTTTCCCCCTCTCCTTCAAGAGCACGGTAATTATCTCCAAAACAGTGAACAATGTGGAATGACAAGAGGTGTGCAGTTGGCGGCAGGCGGCATGGTCGAGTGATCGCTGACGAGGCACACTTTTTTTGTAACATGGTGGCCAATCGATACGGCGATGTGTCTGAAGTCAAGATTGTGGCCTCCTCCCACATGACTGTCAATCTGTGTCAGATACTTCGACGAAAATGTCCGAACTCCCAATCATCATCGCATGTTCTCACTTGGTTGGGATGACATCAACCAAAATTAATCGTTCACAAACAGATAGTTAATGAAACCAAGCGACAGTTGTATACAATTTTGGGTGCCTTGCTGCCCTGAGCAACATGCAAGAAGACAGATTGCGAAAGAGTTCAGCGGACAGCATGATCTCACTGGCTATGGCCGCCTCCAAACCTCCTATCTCCAGCAGCACTAAATTTAGCAAGACGCTTCGTTCCACGACGATGCATCAAAAGCTCAAAACGTTTTGAACAACTTAGGAATGCAAAACCCTGACACATTTGTTTGACGCCTCTGCATCAAGCCCCAGGGCCTACTGAATCTGCCAACAGAAGAATCTAGAAACTGCTACCGTCTTCACCCGAATAGAACGTCCGGTCATTATAGCTGTATTTGGCACAACTTCCGGTCCCGATGCAGTGATAATGACCGGGCATTCTATTCGGGTGAAGACGGTACCATGACAGGTCTACAGCTATATGCTAAACAACTGAAAAGCATGAAACACGTTGGGGCAGGTAACGGGTTCAAATCCTGCTGCCCCAACAAGTCTGAGTCTTATTCGCCGCTGCTGCCGTGTCTTCTATGCCTGATGACAGACCTTCTGCCCTCCAGCTTTAGTTCCTGTGGAGCCAGAGGCTGGGTCTTTACCAGGAGAATATATCCAACCTCACCCACTTACCAGAATAAGAGTCATTTGCAAAAGACAGAGAGAGAAAAAAGAGAGTAGCTGTTTTCTCACACAGTCTCGTGCGATTTGTGATAACCTATGAGCACCAACCACATTGTTCGACTGGAAGGAAAAAAAAAGATGAAATGAAATGAAAGTATTGCAGATGTGCAGTAGCCCAGTTGGCCGGGCGCCTGTGTTCTACAGGTTGCTGTGTCACAAGATACAGGCTGCAGGTTCAAGTCCTGACTGGCTGCTCGAATGACTGCCCATGATTGGAATCCGCCATATTGGACTCCGGTGCATTTGCATCCCTGGTCGGGTACCCCACGGGGGGACGGTCGCAAGGCTGTGTAGACGTTGTATGGGGGGTCCCGCCCGTCGAGCGTCCTGCTGGCTGTGCTTACGACATACACAGTTGGCGTGGGGAGGGTCGCTGAGGGACTGCGTACCGTTGGGAGTCTCCCGCCTTGGAATGCCCCGCGCTGCCCTGGGTGTGCCGTGGGAGTGTGATTATAGCACTGGCCATCAGGGTAGAGCCTGCCTATACCTCATCCTGCACAACCTTTTCAAAATTTCAAGGGGGGAAAAAAAATTAAAAAATATATATATACATATATATAGTATCTGTTGTTCACGAAAAAGATACTATTGGAAATAAAAAGTTGAAAAACTCCCCCCCCCCCCTTGGGTAGGTGACTCGTACTGTAAGGGATGGGCTGACTCTTTTTCACCTCCGTTCATTTGGCTTTTTTCTTTGTACTCATGATTGCCGGTGATAAGCAACCGGACTGACGCCCCCCAGAATAGAAGGGGCTAAGGGGTTTTGTTATTAAAAAAAAAAAAAAAAAAAAAAAAAAAAAAAGAGTTGAAAAACTTTACAAAAAAGGTTCAAAAGAGACTGAAGACGTAGAACAAGCGAAGAGAAGAACCGGAGACTTGTTTAAAAATAAAAATAAAAAAAGAGGAGAGAGCAATAAAAAGACGAAGGTCAACTCACCATCTGCCACCATCCGGGAACACAACAAAGTTTGCACCAGGGTGTTTATTAATCCCATTGATAACTCTCTGCCTCAGCTTCTCTATGTTGTACTTGGACACTTTTTCAGGGAATGTGAGAGTCTGCGCCATCAGCACAGGGACAGCAACCTGCAAGCAAAAAAGCCAGATAGATAGTCATATAAAAGTCGGTGAAACTCCGAAGAAGCAGCCTGTCACAACCCCTCGTTAGTTACGCCTCTGCGCACGTCTCTTTCACCACTACCCCCCTCCCTCCCCCCCCTCCCTTGCATGAACCTCTCTTTGAACCCCTTTAAACCCCTTTAAGCCTCTTTCAGCCCCTTTAGACCTCTTTAAAGTTCAAACCCCTTAAAACCCCTTTATGCACATCTTCTTCTCATCGCTTCCAAGGCCATAAGATCTAACGATCACCCCATGAAAGAAGCTGCTATTTGTTTCTGCTAGCTCCTTAATTTGTGCAGCGAGTCTCATAAGACGCTCCCTGCTGGGCCCAAGGTGTCCCGGTAGTGTCCAATCCGCACGGCCAGTTTTTTTTTTTGTTTGTTTGTTTCAGGTTTCGTAGGCAGCAGTCCAGGGTTCAAATCGCACTACGTTGGTCACCACAAAGTTTTCCAATTCCAGAGGCCTCGCTTTTCGTTTTTCGTTTTGGCTGTGGTCCTGGGATCGAATCGCACGGTGTTGGTTTGTGCGAAGTCTTTTTTTTCAGGTGACGGTTGACTGCGCCAAAGAAGAGGTGAGACAAGGGCCCCTAACGCTTTCGCGCATCGCAGTTGGTGCCGCTGTGGAATTTCGCGCCTTGAGGTGAAGCAGCAGCTTTCCATTTTCCCCGGCAAAATGAGAACGAGTCTTCTGCTACAAGATCGGAAGATACACCGCCATATTTTTTGTCTTTTGTGCATGTCGGAGTACTGGATCGATGCCCTTTCCCAGTTCGCAGTTGCTCTCTCTCTCTCTCTCTCTCTCTCTCTCTCTCTCTCTCTCTCTCTCTCNTCTCTCTCTCTCTCTCTCTCTCTCTCTCTCTCTCTCTCTCTCTCTCTCTCTCTCTCTCTCTCTCTCTCTCTCTCTCTCTCTCTCTCTCCCCTTTTACACACACACAAGCGGGCATGCTGCGCCCATCAACCTTTCTCTCCTTTCTCTATTCACATCTCTCCTCACCTCTGCTCACCAGATACACGCCTTCCCGGAGAACGCTAGCCCTTCCTGCACCGGCATGCTGCGCCATCAGCCGCAGCGCGCCCTACAACTTGTAAACTTTACAGAAACCGATTCAGGGGCCAGATGGTCAGGCTGAATTTTTTTGGTACCCACCCCAAGAAAAAGAAGAGAGTACTGCATGTCATCGAACAGTAAACAATTTCGGACCGACGTCCGGACACCAGCAGAGGCCAATCAAACCCTCCGGACGAAAAGCTGCAAACTTTGCAATGATAGTCGGCAAAAAATCAATTAATAGTACTGTATATTACAGTGCATAAAACATTCAGAAATTCATAATCACTATTTAGTTTAACCAGTCCGATACATTTCTGCCGGACAGAACTTGGACTCGAATCGAGTCCAAGTTGATCCGACCTGCAAAGAAAAAACTTACCTCAGTAACTTTCAGGTTGGGATCGGGTGAAATGACAGTGCGCCCAGTGAAGTCCACACGCTTTCCTGATAGGTTTCCACGAAAGCGTCCCTGCTTCCCCTTCAGCCGTTGCACGAACCCTCGCAGTGGTTTGCCGGTTGGCTGAAAAGCCAGAGGCAGACCTGGAAGATCACTATTGATATACATAGCACACTGCACTTGAAGGAAATCCCAGTTTTCCTGAAAGACAAACAAAGAGACAGAGAGAGAGAGAGAGAGAGCTGGTTAGATCACTATTGACTACCATCTTCAGCCAAATAGGATAGACGGGCATTATGGATGTATTTGGGGCAATTTTCAGGCTAGATAGGGGGACAATGAACATATGTTCTGACCATGTGCTTCTGTTCCGGTGAAGACGGTACTATTAGTATTGGCAATGCATTGGTTGGATTCTAAGGGCATACTCGTACTGATAGGACTTTTCCACAAAAGCTCTGGACGTGATTGGAGTCAGATTCATCCAGGTCGGTCCTTCATTCCGGTCAGATGCATTCTGGAAAGTGCTAGTGTGAGTATATGCCCCAAGAAGCTCAATCCCAGCTTTTACCTGAACATAAGCACAAGTTACAAAAACAAAAAACGAAAATGCAAACATTTCTAAGTTATGAAAAGAGAAGAAAACGTGGTCCCGTTTGGTGTCCGCCTTGCGGCTAAATCCCAGTTTTACTGAAAGAAAACACTTCACTTAAAAAAAAAAAAAAATTAAAAAGTGGTGGTTCAAAAAAAAAGGAAAAAAAAAGAAAAAAGTTCAGATCACTATACTGATTATACGTTGATTACACACTGCAGTGTGATTTGAACACATGTATCCCAGTTTTCTGAAAAATGATCAAAAATCATAAATGAAAAAAAAAAACAAAAATTCCATCAGGACATCCATCAAAATTGGAACGATACACAGAAGATTAGCATGGCTCCTACGCAAGGATGACACGCATAAATCAAAAAATGGTCCATTTTTTTGGCTATAATGATATATTGCATTGTGTGGGTGCCTGTCCACACCAATGCTGATACGTGATGTGTCAGAATGCACTGTATGAGCCACCACTAGTACCTTTCCCGCGTGGGAAAATTGGGAAAACTGGCTATCCTGAAAATTCGGAGGCCAGGCCCGACGACAAACGAAACGACTGCCATTGGTAAATCTGATCGGCGGCTGTCGTTTCGTTTGTCGTCGGGCCCAGCCTCCGAATTTTCAGGATAGCCAGTTTTCCCTATTTTCCCACGCGGGAAAGGTACTAGTGGTTAAAAAAAAAAAAAAAAAAAAAAAGCAGAAACAGAAAAGGTGAAACAAACATGAAAAAACGAAGAGCTGTTTCAAGTTACAAGAACCTGGTCCACCAGAGCTGTGCACACCTATCAGCCTGATGGTACACACACCTGCAACTTCACAACTCAGGGCACGCTCACACTAGCATTTTCTTGAATGTATCTGACTGCAATTACAGCCAGACCTGGATGAATCTGACGGCAATCCCATCTAGAGAGCTCAGGAGAAATAGTGTTGGTGTGAGGATATGCCCTCAGACTTCTCAACAATCTAGGCACTCTGGTGGGGATGACCAGCAGGCCCTGGGTTGCATGATGGGCCCAAATCCAGACTTCTGCGGCAGATAACCGGATGTGGACTGGATGTCTGTCAGGGTGTGCAGGACCACCATTTGGAAAAAAATAATAATAAAAAAAAAATCAAATGTTTCAGCCTTTCAGGACAAGCATTATTAATTTATTATAATTTGACACAATTAACTGCGAGGATAGCAGAAGGAGAAAGCATAGGACAGGACTTATCATGGGGCACACACCATGAGACTGACGATGCCAATTCCTTTCTCCAGCCCGGTGCGGATAATGTTGTTGACTTCAATAATCTGCATCAATTTCATTGTAATGTCATCTTCATTGCTGCACGAGACAGAACACATTCAACAGCAGAGAAACATTTCCCACCAGGGGGGGGGGAACGTTCAGCACCTTAGATCCCCCGCACGATTGCTTTTTTTTCAAGTTAAAAAAAAAAAAAAGGGGGGGGTTAGCCCAAGCGGGCTAGCTCAGTTGGTTGAGCACGTAAGTGGTATTCAGGAGGTTGTGGGTTGGATTCCCCCCGCATCGTCCTTTCGATCCCCCGCGGCGCCCTGTGATAGGCCTTCGGGTTCACCAGTGGAAGTAATTTGCTTGGGCCCACTGGCTGGCTGTAGAAGTATGGCTTCGCTTTCCAGCTCATGCCAGGTGTTAGGATCTGGGGTACTGCTGTCACACTGAGGTAGCATAGTAGGGACGGGGGTGCGCTGGGAGTATGGGTTGGGTGGTTGGCCTATCCTGTCAGGACAACCATTTGCTGCTGCTACCAGCAATCACCGCGGGTCTGGTCGTTGGCCTCTACAACACCCTGGGCTTAAAAAAAAAAAAAAAAAAAAAGGATCTGCGGTACTGCTCCCTGCATAGAGCAGAAACCGGGAATCCAACCCATGCTTGTGTTCCATAGATGAACGAGTGTATCATTCCTGCCTAGGTACGTAGGTAGGAGGTAGTGGGAGGTATGTTGAGAGAAGAATATCGGTTAATTTAATAATTTTTATTATAAAATGACAAAGGGGGTTAGCCCCTAAGAATCTAAGATATGTATCCAGCAGGATTTGAACTCATGATGAGCGGTTTATCAACCAGGGACACGAGTGTAACTCAGCATAATTTCTGTCTGTCTGTCTGTCTGTCTGGTCATTATCCTAGATTTTTCACCCGGATGAAATGGCCGGTCATTATCGCTGCATCTAGACTGAAAAGTGCACAAAATACAGCTATAAGACCGGCCGTTCTATTCGCGTGAAAACAGTAGGCAGGCAGTACGAGGACGCCTATATGCATTCATTCATGACGGCAAATTTACAACCCACGGCCATACAAACGGCAGAGCACACACAAGGCATTGAACTCTCCACATCGCAAAGGACAGACAGTAGGCTCACAATTGTCTTCCTCCTCTCACCCCTCCTCCATGTCACCCTCTTCCTCCACGTCACCCTCTTCCTCCACGTCACCCTCTTCCTCCATCTCACCCTCTTCCAATTTACCAAACCAGTGGATCAGAAAATGGGCATGGGACAGCCAATACATACCAACGGTACAGGGAGCCCCAGCCAGGCATTCTGGCAGGGGGCCGAGCTGGCACCCACCCGGGACACCCCAGGCACTCTGTTCGGTGAAGACGGCAACTATGGTCGGCAGCGGCCTCACCTGAGGCCTGCCTGGCTATGGATACCACTTAATATTATTTCATAAAGCAATCAAAATAATAGACCACTCGACTGCAAAAAAAGTGCCTCATGCTATTCACCCCCCCCCCCCCCCCCCCCCCCCCCCCCCCCACCCCCCCCCCCCCCCCCCCCCCCACACCCCCCCCCCCCCCCAACCCCCGCCCGCACCCCCCCCCCCCCCCCCCCCCCCCCCCTCCAAAACACACACACACACACAACCAATAGTGCCCACAGTTCGGCCAACCTCCACAGCATCTCTGACACATGTTTGGGAGAAACAACTGTGGATTACATCCATGACGCTGCTGCTTTCTCTGGCTTGCAGCACACACAGCCAGAAAGGAAAGGCACCCAAAAAGAAAGAAAGAAGAAAGAAGAAAGAAAGAAAGAAAGAAAGAAAGAAGAACGGGCGGGTGTCCTTCAGGACAACTGTTGAGATTGGAACGATACAGAGAAGGAAGATTTGCATGGCCCCTGCGCAAGGATGATATGCATAAATCGAGAAATGGTCCAAATTCATTCATTGTAAAAAAACAGATAAAAAAGGGGAAAAAAGAGAGAGAAAGAAACAAAGAAACAAAGAAAGGGAAGGGAAGGGAGGTTGTGAAAAAAGCGCAAGAGCAACAAGGATCTGAGCCTCTGAGGGCATATACGTTTTTGCTTATTTCTGGACATAATTGCGTTGCAGATACATCCAAGTAATACCGTAATTACAGTCAGATGCATTTCGCATTGTGCTAGTGCACGTTTGCTCTGAGACAAGGCATCACCGTCCTGCAAATCTGGTTCTCAGAAGATCTAGAAAGAAAGATCCTGATTCCTTTTCGATTTCCTTTTTTTTCTAATGCTCAAAAAAGAAAGAAAAAGAGGTCACATGACACCTGATGTGGCACTTGAAGGGGGGGGGGGGGGTGAGTCATACATACCTGCCTTGCGCTGCTTCCATTTCCACAGAGGGACGGATGCAAACGGGAGGGACGGGCAAATGGGTGAGAATGAGCCGCTCCGGTCTCTGTGCAAGATCGAGGACTTGGCAATCCTGCAAAGGCAGGCCATGTTTAAGAAACATTTGTCACTGAGGGGAAGAGTCGATGGCATGCCCTGCCCGGTCCGGTCCCACTCCTGTCTTCCTTTCTCCTTCCTCCCTCCCTCCCTCTCACTTTTCCTTCTTTTCCTTCCTTCCTTCCTTCCTTCCTTCCTTCCTTGCAGCTCCAAGATGGTGCAAATACGCGTGGATCTGTGGCTCTGGAGATCTCCTGAATGTAACTGAACAAAGGAAGAAGGAACCCGCCATCCTGCGAAGCAGCCCATCATAATGGGAAGGCGAAGGGAGGGAGGGGGGTCACAAGGGAGAGAAAGAAGCGACAAAAACGTCCACCAGGAAATCCCAGACCCCAGGTGGGTGGAAATTTTCAAAATTTCCTAAATTCATTCCAAAAGAACCCCCCCCCCCCCCCCCCAAAAAAAAGCTGTGAATTATATGAATGTCATTGGACGATTAATTCAATAATCTAATAGTCTATTAAACAATAAGTAGATAATAACAGAATAGATAGCTTATAGCACAATCATCTCCAAGCCTAATGGGTGATACCCGATTCCATTTCGGTTTGGTCAGCAGCCAACCTTGAACTCCAAATTTGGAAAATCATCGTCGTTGTCATCATTATCACCATCATCATCATCATCGTTGTCATCATCATCATCATTGCAATGATTGCTCATCAAAAAACCACCTCCAGTACCACCCACAACAACGACAAATGCCAAGAACCTCATTCATTGCACCCTCTCCTTGTCCTTTTAAACCCTGGTTGTCTTCCACAACTCCTTGTTGACATCCGGGTAGCCATCTGCGCTTGTCCTTGCACATCATTAACCAATGCCCACCCATCCACCCATCCACCCATAACAACAGTTTGTCTGACAGGATACGATACCCATCCACCCATCCACCCATAACAGTTTGTCTGACATGATACGATACCCATCCACAGTGAACAATTACAACGAGCATTCCCCCCTCCTGATTGTGAGCATAGCAATTATCTGCATTCTCTTATTCCTCCTCCTCCTCTTCCTCCTCCTCCCCCTCCTCTGCCGTCGCCGCTGCAGTAGCCGCTCCCTTCCTCCCTCCCCTTATGCATTATCATCAGCATTGCCACCGCTAGGGGGACTACACGCAACACTATGAATTGGTTATGCAGACAAAAATAAAAGAGAGAGAGAGAGAGAGAGAGAGAGAGAGAGAGAGAGAGAGAGAGAGAGAGAGAGAGAGAGAGATTCTTAATTACGATTGTAAAAGCATTTCTTTCTGGAGGGCCCTCCCTGTTGACCTCACTCCACTGCATGTGTCATTCCGCTGACTGCAGTGAGCACAATGGCGCATTTATTTGCGATTTCCATGGATGAGCGGCGTGAGTCATCAGTGATTGTACCTCGACCAGAGGGAGAGAGGGAAGGAAGGTGGAGAGGAGGAAAAAGTAACAGCAACAGGAGGAGGACACCAACAAGGAGGAAGAATAGGTGACGGTGATGGCAAAAAATGAGAGGAACGTAAGGTCCTCGATGGTGATGATGAGAGAGGAGGAAGAAGAGGCAAAGGATGTGAAGAGCGTGGCAAGAGAGGAATGGGAAAGCTGGTTTGCATATTCAGCAGTGTACTGAGGATAGTAGGGCAAGTTCTCATGTGAGATGTTCCGACTGGCAAGCTCACAGCTGACAGCTCTGGAGCCTGGACAACAAAAGGGCAGACAGCACAAGCCAGAGGAGGGAACGAAGGAGAGAGGAGGAGAAAGGAGGAGGGAAGGAGGAGGAGAAAGGAGGAGGAGAAAGGAGAAGGAGAAAGGAGGAGAGCAGGAGGAGGAGAAGGAACAACGGCAGGAAAGAGGAGGACGAAAAGTAGGCGAAACGAGGAGTAGGAGGAGGAGGAGGAGGAAAGGGAGGATAATAAGATGGATAAGGTTATTGAAACTGAAGACGACAATGAAGATAATAATATGATCTTACAAGAATCATCATTCATATAGAAAAAATGATTCAGCTATTGTATTGTTTATAATATGGTTCAAATCTGTGTTACCAAGCGTGCCACCCGGGTCACACCTTGGTTGCCCGGGCGGCCTGGCCGGGCAAGGGCCAGGGCTATGTTGTGCAGAAAAATAAACTGAACAACTTTTGCCTCAGGGCAGTATTGAAATTCTTTGCCAAAAAAAAAAAGTTAAAAAAACTGTTTATTTTTATTTTCTAATAATTCAGTTTTAGCCCCACCCAGGCAAGTGGTCCCAGGCCACTCTGGTAACACAGTTACAAATGACATTCCCTCAGATCCCTGTCCTTTAGTCGGTCTTCCACTCGCACTTCGTATTTCTCCCTCTATTTCCATTTCCTCTCTCTCTTCTTCTCCCTAGTCTTCATGCTCTTTCTCCGCATCTTGGCATGCCGTTGCTACATACTGTTCCCCCTGTTGTTCTCATTCCTCCATAGCATAGCATAGCATAGCATAGCAGATGCTATAGCATCGCATAGGCTATAGCATCGCATATGCTATAGCATAGCATTGCATGGCATAGCATAGGCTATAGAATCGTGTAGGCTATAACATAGTGTAGGCTATAGCATAGCGTAGATGCCAGAACAACAGTCAAAGGATGATGCAGGAATGACGCGCTTTTTTCAGTTCATTTTCTTGGACTTGAGCTTGTGCAATTTAAACCACAAGTACACGGCCCCAGCCTTGCATTCCGAAACTTGTCGCCACAAGAAAACGAGGCCGAAACCTCAAACGCTGGGCCCACTGTTGATATATTCAATCGGCGGCCGCGTTTTCGTTTCGCACCTCCAGAATTTGAGGTGTCAGACGCGCGGCCCAGGTGCCCATGTACTGGTGCTTTAACGTCACTGTAAACAGAAGGGATCGCATTGCTGTGTCCATCTTTCAACCTCATCGTGCCACTTTCTCGATATTGCTTATGTTTCTTTCTTTTCATCGATATTCCTTAATGTTTCTCTCATTTGCTCGATATTCCTTGTGTTTCTTTCTTTTTGTCGATATTATTTGTTGTTTCTGTTGCAGCTGATGTGAAAAGAGTGCAGCTCATATGGTCAGATTCCACATCGGAAGCCGCAACTCCTACCTTCTTCGCTTGAACATACACCCTATCACCATCATGATCAAGGTGGCAAACCATCTATCCCGGTCTTATACAAACCATCTGTGCCAGCCCGGTCAAAACCACCTGTCCTGGTGCAGTACAAGTTGCTACAAACCATCTGTCCTGCTCCAGTGCAATCTGTCTTTGTCCAGTACAAACTATCAGTCCTGGTCCAGTACAAACCAACTGTCCTGGTCCAGTGCAAAATTTCCTTATCCAGTACAAACCACCTGTCCTGGTGCAGTACAAACCATCTGTCCTGGTCCAGTGCAAGCCAAGTCCT